CCCCCCGCCCCAGTTCTTTTTTAAGGCACGCAGCAACACTTCTGGATCAGATGCTCAGAATACACATGCGAGTTGTGCATGGTCACAGAACAGCTTCCATATGTGTGTGGTGGCTCTATTTCTGGGCTCTCTAGGCTCTTCCAACACTCCGCCCATCTGTCTCTACGGTAGCAGCGTGTGATCTGGAATGCGACGGCTGGGCCATCCTGGTTCCTCACAGGGTAGGGCAGGGCCCTGCACATCATTATCCTTCACGACTGCCTTGCCTATTTACTCCTGGCTGCCTCGAGCACACAACTTCGTACATCCACCCAAGGCGACAGAGAAGACATTAAAGAGGGAGGGGTCCAAACCGAGCCCCAAATTTCAGAGGCGGTAATCCACACCTGGAAGCACCGGGGAGACCGGCGAACGAGACCCGGGTACGGCAGGTCACCTGTGAAGCCAGCTCCCGAATCCTCGGACTTGCTGATAAACCACCAAACACTCTTGTCAAATATGTGGCTGTAGGTGGGCGTCCAACCTAGTCATGTTTTTGATGATTTTAAAACAACAAAGGGAAATCTATGTAATGTTTTTTCTCCTCAACGAACTATTCTGCTTAATTAAATTGCTGTTCCCTTTTCTGTATCTATACAAAGCACTTCTCTAACAATCTGTTTATTTTTAATGTTTTATTTATTTTGAGAGAGAGAGAGAGAGAGAGAAAATCCTGAGCAGGCTCCGTGCTGTCGGCGCAGAGCCCAACGCAGGAACCTCAAGATCATGACCTGAGCCCAAATCAAGAGGCTGATGCTCAACCAACTGAGCCACCCAGGTGCCCCTCTCACAATGTACTTTAGAATCCTACTTGGGAATGACCTTGCGCTCACGGGTATATTGGTCATAACTCACCCTCCTGTGGAACAAAACGACAGGTGTCTGTTTCTAGGGATGCCCCTCCATTCCAGATTCAGAAAACTGTTCCTAGAGATCATTGTCAGGGACACGGCGACCTCATTACCGAGTTATCTGGGCATCTTGGGATATCTGTAACTCAGGGAGAAATCTCTGGCCGACTCGCTTGGAGCAGGTAGCTGAGTGGCAGTCTTGAGAAGGAAACGCACGCCAGTCGTGACACCCACCCTCCCCCGAGGGACCAGCGGCAGCCTTTACCGCAAGCCTTCTCTTCCGCGGGGAAGCTTCAAGGCCAGCGCGTCATCCGCCTGTGGCTCCGTGTTTCCACTAAGCCACTGGCTCTCCATCGGAAACCCCTGCCCAGGGACATCTGGTCACGTCTGCAGACACTTTGGGTTCTCGACAGAGACAGGTGGAGGCGCTGCAGGCACGGACTAGGGAGAAGCCAGAGACGCTGAAGAATGCGCCAGGACACAAAAGGACGGCTCCCACCACAAAAACCCGCCTGCTCTAAAACGGCCATGGTGAGACAAGTGCGGAGTCAGAACTGCTCTTCTGTTCTTCATCGCCCTCTCAGACTCGTCCGGGAGTTACGGGCTGTCCATGCAAACTCCCTCGCACGAGGCAACTCCTCAGGACGCTCGCTTCAGCTGGTAGGACCTGGCTCTCCCCTGGAGACACACCTCTCAGGTGACGGCACTGGTAGCCCCCCCCCCCATCCCCCAACCGGACACACAGGTGCGGCTTGCAAGCCACTCTTCCTCCAGCCCTGGCCTCCTAGACACCCTTCCCTGGACGGTTCCGCTCACACCTGCCAAGCCGACCCCCTGGCTCATGCCCCTTGGCTCACGGACTGCCCGGCAGCCGCTCACCCCATCTTCACGGATGATGCCGTCCAGATCTTCCGAGGTGACCCCCACTGCCGCGGCCCGGCCTCTCGAGCCTCCCCCTTGCTAAGCTCTTTCCTTCCATCCAGCCCTCATGGTCCTAACCCAGACCCACCACCACGAGCCGGCTGTTCTGGGTCTTATTTTCGTCTTCCCAGCTCACTTACACTGGGACCCACACTCTGAGGGTTATGCTGCTGACACTCTCCTCCCTCTGCCTCTCCTGACCCTTGGCCCGACTTCACTGCTAGTTTCCACCCTGCACCTGGCTCAGCACCTGCACTCAAGCCCCGTGGGGGGGGGGGGGGGGGGGGGGAGGAAACAGCCTCACACCCACTGGCCTCCTCTATCTTTACGACCCCCAAACTGGGCCAGGCTGGACTGGAGGCCAGACCTCTGGCCTGCCCTTGGATGCACCAGGAAACTGAATAAAGCCACTCCCTGCTCTGCAAGAGGCTGTACCACACCTTCTCCATTCTCCTTAAATGCCCCACGCCTCACTCCATCCCCCACAGAGACATCATGTTTCATTCTGCTGAAGACAAAAGAAAAATCCCCCAAAAGCAGCCATCAGAAGTGAGCATTCCCCTTCCTGTGCGGGTCCCTGATGGACCTGGGACCTCCCTGCAACTGGGAGCTGGATTCCACCCCATTTTGCCGCTGGAGTGACTTGGCCCCCAGCCTTTCGAACCCTCCCCGGGCTGCATCAAACGTGCTGTATTATTGTATTGTCTCTCGTTTCTAACAAAACTCTCCATGACCCCATGCCCTCGCCCAGCCAC